CACTGAGAACCCTGTGGGCACAGTTCTACTCTGACACACGGGGCACCATGAGTGGAATCTACTTATAAAAACTCATCCACTGAGAACCCTGTGGGGCACAGTTTTACTCTGACACACACGGGGCACCATGAGTGGAATCTATTTATGAAAATCATCCACTGTGAATCCTGTGGGCACATTCTACTCTGACATACATGGGGACACCAGGAGTCAGGATCAATTCAACAACAATGGGTATGTGGTTCGTTAGTAATGAAATAAATAAAAATGGACTGAAGGACCGAAAACGTCATTCCCTATTAGGTGTAGGCTCTATGTTCTGGAACTGGGGTGCCTGGGAGACTTACCCGTTGGTGTCCATGCTCTGTAGCCGCTGAAGTAACGTCTCGGAGAGCGTGGGCCTGCTGAACTCCGGTACTCGAGGGTTCTCGCTTGAAAGAAGAACTTCCTTGGCCTCGGAGGGCCCAGCCGACAAAGGGATGTTCCTGGGGGGCAACTCAGGCGGACACGTGATGCATTCTACACAAGACAACAGCAGGAACATTCTGGTTACACACCTGCTTCTCTGAGGGTCACCCATCTTCAGAGAGGGCTTGGGGGGCGCACCTCCTCGGGGTGAGTACACCCTCCAGCTGCACCTTCTTTGTGGTAGCCATGCCCTCACACACTTCAGTGCAGTTTTGTGAGAAGTCAGAGATGCCTCAGAAGAAGGCCTGGCAATGTACTTCCCCAAACCCAGCCAATAAAAATCCTATGGAGCACAGTCTACTCTGACAGATGTGAGGTTGCCATGAGCCAGAATCCACTCTGGTGAGGTCAAGGGCACTGTACCCATTGTGTAGACCCCTGCCAGCAGGGCTCATAGGGAAGTGGTCCCCTCCTGTTCCCATGATTACTATGGTCCCCACCACTTCCCGCTTCCATCTCTCTCCCTGGCTAGATGGGAAGCCTTCCTGAGGACCTAGCACAATATCTATGTTATTGTTAGCTACTGGGGGCTGCCAAGGCCTGCTGGAGTCCGGGAATAGACAAGGCTAGCCTTTGAGTGGGAAGCCTAGGCTGTAGTCCTGAGATTTCAGGTAGGACAGGGCTGCCCAGAAGGTGACCCTCTGAGGAGAGCCTGGGGGGTCACAGGATAGGCCCGGCTTTCGTGGGCTGAAGTCTAGGGCTCATGCAAAGCAGTGCCAGGACGGAGCGGACTCATTACAGATGGAGCCAGAGACAAGAGGCAACCAAGCCCCCAGGTCCCTCTCTCTGCCTTTCCTTCTCTTCCATCATCAGATCCTCAGAGACCAATAACAGGAAGTGAGGCCCTGTCGCCCCCTGGAGAACTCAACACAGCCCCAAGAGATGGGCCTCCTGCTTTAGGAGAATTTCCATCCTGTATGAACCCCGAAGATCTGTGTGAAGGCCACTGGACAACAAGCCCCTTGGATCCAAATCTTGTTCCGAGCCCCTCCCACACTCAGGCCGGCCCTGGGAGTCCAGCCACTGCACTGTTCCATCTTGTCCTCTGCTATCCAAGTGAGTGCTCTGAGGAGACACCAGTGCATTTAGACCCCTCTTGGGGGTGGGGGCCCCACTGCTGGGCCTCATTTTGGGAAGTGAAGCCACAGTCATGAGACTGGGTTTCTCTTTCCAGTCCTTCTGGAAAGTGTCTCAGGGTCTTTGGCCAGAGGGGGAGGGCAAGCCGGGCTGGGGTCACAGGGAAGTATGTGGTCAGTGTACAGAGGTCATTTCTTCTTAACACTTCTCTAGTGGGCGGGTTTATCATTCATGAGGTGCTGCCTTGGGGAGGGTGGGACTGGGCATCTGGGAGGTAGAGGACAAGAAGCCAGGATGAAGGGTTGGGGAGTGGCCTTGGACCCTCACCTCTAGCCATTCAATAGCCAACCTTCCAGGTCCCTGGCAACAACGCCAGACCCATGGTCACTGGATCGATTCCAATCCTAGCGACCCTCTAGGATAGAGTAGAGTTCTATTCTAGAGGGTCCAGCTTTACAGGACCAGAATGGGTTTGAACCATTGACCTTTCAGTTAGCCGTTGAGTGCTTAAGTCACTGCATACCAGGGTTCCTTCTGGGTCCAAGTGTACTTCCTGTCAGATGACAGAGGCCCTTCCTGGGCCCCCTTCAGCCTCTGGGGAGCCATGGTCGTTCCTAGCCGCTCTTTGTCTGAGCCTCGTGGCTCCTCACAGAGCTGTCCCGCTGACGAGGAAGCTGGGGACCAGCTTCCCCCAAGAGGGGGCCTCTGGGAGAATGGAAGGAAGCAAGGGTGCTGAAGACCCACAAGCCAGGGTCACCAGCTCATGAGGGGCCCGCAACACCTAGCTCCAGGTTCTGGGATAGAGATCTGAGGTTAGTCTGAGGGGCTCATTAGCTATCTTACTGTTGTTGTTAGCTGCCATCTAGTTGACCCTCAACTCATGGTGACTTGATGCACACTGGGATTGGCCCTGATTTTTGCAAGGAGACCAAAAGGACTTTCTTCCTAGTCTGTCTTCATCTGGAAGCTCCGTGGAAGCCTGCTCTGTATCACAACATACAAGCCCTTTCCCCCAACAGATGGGTGGTGGCTATATATAAAGTGCTGGCCAGAAGCCAGCCAGGTCTCCTTGCTGGAAGGTGAGAATTCTACCACAGAATTATGACTGCCTCCTCTAGCAGTTCGAAACTACCAGCTGTTTCACAGGAGAAAGATGAGGCTTTCTGCTCCACTAAAAATTTACAGCCTTGGAAACCCTGTACAGGGTCACTATGCATCGGAACCGACTTCACGGCACATAACCACCACCACCACCTCTAGTCCATCTCCAGGAAATAGAGGAGGGAAGGAAGGGCCCAGTCCAGGGGAACCCCTTTGCACCTCTCTTCTCCCTTGGACCCTGACTTTACTATCGTTGGCCAACACTGTTTAAAGAGCAAACCTGATTCGAACAAACTTCTCAGGAGCTATACTTTGTTTCTTTTTTTCCTCCCATTAAATGTAGATATAAAGAAATCCCTTTATCATTCTTTGAGTTAGCTGTAAGGATCTCTATTTTCATTTTGCGGCGAACTCACTAATTAGAATGAGGGTGGCAGGCGCTGCATTTATTGAGCACTTGCTGTGTACCAAGCTCTGTGCTTCACATTCACTGATTCACTACATCCTTGTGTATACCTGAGAGGCAGATACCATTCTTACTGTCTCTTTAAGGAGTTGGCTATGGTTTAGAGAGATTAAGTAATTTATCAAAGCTCACACAGCTGATAAAGTTGGAGACCTTGAGACTGTGTTTTAACCTGTCCTAACCACCATGTCATTCTCTCTCTGAGAGTCCAATTCACTTACTCTGAAAGTATTTGCTGTAGAGACACACCCAGGATTTCTCCACCACACTGGAGGGTACCTCCCAGTCCAGGCCAGCTGCCCAGACTCCTGTTTTCCTGCTTACCCGTCTCCTCTTCGGGTTCATCACCCGCATCCTCTTCCTCCAGCGGCACGGGGTACTGCAGGTGGGTTACAAGCCCCATGTTCTCCTTCTTGTAGAACTCGATGAGCTGGTCCAGCTTGGTGAAAAACCTCATGGGAACACCTTCCGACGCCTGAGGACAAAACCCAAACAGAAGCACATTTTAAGTGACTGGAACATCACCCAACCACAAAGGCCATCTGCTGTGGAGACTGACGTGGCCCAGGAAGTGGCTGAGTTTCCAGAAAAAGCTCTGAGTCCCTAGACTGGTGTCTGTTCACCCCCTGGCCTGCCACATCCACACCCCAACAACCTATAACCAGAAACTGCCGAGAGTCTGTAGAAGTTACAAAAGGATTGTTTTACAGATCTTATTCCTTAGTCTTAAAAATAAAAACCAATCTATATTTTATAAAAGCATTTTGTTTGATAAGTAATACATTTACATTATGGCAAAATTAGAAAATCCAGACTTTTTTCCAAAATAAATCACCACGAGAGATCTACTCACCACAGCTAAGAATATATTTTGTACACATTATGTGTGTGTGTGTTTGGGGGAGAGTTATTCCCCACCCCACCACACACACACACACACACACACACACACACACACACACACAGCACTTATTTTTAAACACAGACTACTCTAGCAATTGCTTTCTTCTGGCTTTATTTTTTTCCTTTGCTATCATCGGCCTGGTGTTTCAAAACTCAACAAAACGGTCAGGTGGTAACAGAATCCTCCCTGGTTTGGTTAGAATCTCTATGCATTAAGACAAGAGGCGGGAGTCATTCGGCCTTAGGGGAAGGTCCTCCTGGACTCCACCTGAGGACCACAGGAAGTATTGGGCGATCTCTAAGCAGCTAGCCCAGACCACACTGAGGTCCAACCCACCTCACCGCACCAAGGCCAGGCCCAAAAAAGACCCACCCCACCAAAGATTCACCCCACGGAAGCCCCGCCCCATGGAGACCCCGCCCCACGGAAGCCCCGCCCCACAGAAGCCCATCCTGCCCCCATTGAGGTCCTGCCCCCATTGAGGCCCCGCCCCTTATCGGCTCCACCCTGTCCCACCTTCATTCTGTGGCCAGGTCAGGATGAGGCCCGGGGTTCTTGTCTGCGGCAGCCAGGCACAAGGCTTGGGTTACTTTTTATTAACGATGTACCTTACAGACAACACCTCTAAACTTTCTGTCCATCCATCCTGCCCACCTGGGCTCTCCCTGAGGTCCCTGTCTCAAGGAATGGCATCACTGTCATCTACCCCTTGGCTTAGCCTGGTACCCAGGGACATCTCAGACTCAGAGGTGGACAGCAGGAAGCAGCGTATCACCAATCCAACTGAGTTCCTGAGCCCTGGGTGGGAGATGAAACTGAAGTCAGCGCCAAGCAGGGGACTGGGGAGAGGGCTCAGCTGGTAGTAGGCCAAGACTTGACTTGCCTTGTCTCCCAGGAGCAGTGTGCCCTGAACTCACTCCAGTCATCTTAACAACCTCCATACCAATTACCTCCACGAAATCTAAGGTGAGAAGGTGTCATCTCTGCAGGTGGTGGTCAGGACCCTCACTCCCCCCTTACTTCCCCCCCGCCCCCCAGAGCTGCCAGCAACTTCATGACACAACGTGGAAGGAAGCCAGTAGGCAGATGGGGTGGATGTCCAGGGAAGCTCACCCACCTTGGGGAGCAGGCAGTCTCTGAGCCTAATGTGGCTGAACTATTTTTGGACACACTCAACCTCAAGTTGACATTGACTGATGTCCACTGGGTAGGATTGAAGTCCGTTTCGAGGGCCACAAGACAGCAGCTGAAGCAAGATGGCCCAGAGAGGAACAAACTATTACTTTTTGGCATTTCCTTACTGTCATGGGTAACAGACATGCTACGTCCACCTTATACATTTCCCTGTCCCAGCCCTCACATTAATCCTGGTTTTTTTTCAGTGGAGAATGGTATTTGTTGTTGTTGTTGTTAAGTGTTATTGAGTCGGTTCTAACCCATACCTACCCAGTATATAAAGTTACCAAGAAGCAGCTGGTGAGCTTGAACCGCCAACCTTGCAGTTCAAACTGACCTTGCAGTCCAGCACATTAACCCACAGAGCCACACCAGGACTCTAAAGAAACTCCACCGGTTTCTTTCAGTGGAGAATGGTATTTAGGGACCACAGTCTGAGGACTAGGTAAGCTGGTTACTGGAGTCCCATTGCTTCTAGGCCCTCTCAGGAAACAGAACTTGGAAATGTGTGTGAGAAACTTTTCTCTAAGTTTGAAATTATTTACAAAATAAAAAGTTTTAGAAAGAGATATACACAGAGTTGGGGGATTGGGTGGCACTAAAAAGGCATCTTATCTAAAGGGTCAGATGTTTATTCTTTTTTATGGTAGATTTCACAAAACTATTCCTAGCTTATATATTTCTAGAGGTTTCTGCACAAATGTACAGAGAGCTCAGAAACATTAATGAGGCTTACATAATTGCAATTAATCTTCTTGTTGTTAGGTGTTCTTGAGTCAGCGCTGGCCAGAGTCAAGCTCCCACATGTCATAAACACGGCATGGTTTGGTGGTTCCTGGGGGGAGCGGGAGTGAGGAGCAGGTGGGGAAGATAGACTCCTAGGTCTCTCCTTTGTGCTCATCCTACCCATCGGCTCCCCGGGACAGAAAACAGGCTCATGGGGGCCAGAACACATTTCCCTGCTGGGTATCCCAAGTCAGGGGCCCTGGTGAGGGGCCCTCTTAGGGATCGTGTCTCTTTCCAGGTTAGGACCCCACACCAAGTGGAAGAAAGTATAAGAGGCTGAATGCCCAGGGAGCCAAGCAAACAAAGGAAGGAGTGAAGAAGAAAGAAATCGATGTGGATTACTACCTGCTGGAGTCCTGGAATGGTGCTGTGGGTTGATGCACTGGACTGCAGGGTTGGTTTGAACCTCAAGGTCGGCGGTTCAAGATCACCAGCTGCTCCTGAGAAACCCTATACAGGGTCCCCATGGGTCTGAACTGACAATAACAACACCCACCTGCTGGATTGATACAGTGGCTGCAGCAATGCGGCACCAAATGGACGGCTCCTCACAACCGTGATCACCACCACCACGTGACACAAAGGCTTTGTACTCCACTATTAACGTGGTGGAGTCCTGTAAGATAAGCACTGGACTGCTAACTGCAAGGTTGATGGTTCAAACCCACCAGCTGCTCCTTGGAAACCCCTATATAGTGTCGCTATGGGTCAGAACCGACTCGACGGTTCAACCTCATAGCAACTAATGCCAAGGTTGGTGGTTCGAACCCACCCAACAGACCTTTGGCAATCAACTTCCCCTCAACGCCATGGTAACAAGTTTCAGGTTTGATGGACAAACATGTTGGGATACTATCTAATGTAATCAATCATCCCCTTAGTGGGCACAACGGCTCTGTCTTAGGAGATGAGGAAACAGTCTTGGAGAGGTGGAGGGGCTTGCTTGGTCAGAAAGGCAGTTGGAAAAGCAACCCGCCCCAGGGAATGTTTCAAGATAAGAACCAGAAGGGGGAGGGGTGGCTGGGGAACCCACCTTCTTATCTAGCCAGGCAGGGACAAGGTCTTGAGGAGGGCAGGGACCAGCTGTGGAAAGGGGAGGGGAGGAGGGGAGGAGGGAACGAGGTGCTCAGAGATTCTCTGCAGGTTCAAGTCTCGGGAGACTCAGGCTGTGTCGTCCTGTTTGTGGGCGAGCTGGATGAAGCCTGATATTTGGTGGATGGCACGTGGTGGCTGGTGGTGGGTGGGAGAGTCTGACACTTGCTATTTTGGGACCAGGTCCTGTCTCTGCAGACCTGCTCCATGGCAGTATTCTAAAACCATGTGTCTGGGGATTTATCAATGGTGAAGCCATGAACAGGCTTGGCCAGAGTCTTAGATGTGCAGCGTTGGTGGGGAGGGGCAGGGATGATGCTTAAAAAAAGTGGAGAGTGAGGGCCAGCCTGCCACAGTCTCTTCTCCTCCGTGTCTTCCCATCTCTTCTCCCCACTCAGACCCCACACTCCTCCCTTTGTCTGCTCAGATCGGGTGGGCCCTGGTGCTGGCGGTAGTGGGGGCCCTATCATGCACCCCACTACCTCGTTCCAGCCACCCCATTTCCTGAGCTTGGTTCCTTGGCGTTCCTCATGCCAGGCTCTGGGCAGGCTTCCCGGAACGACTTGGCATGATTCTGCTCCCCAACAGTCCTACACTCACTTCAAAATCCACACCCACCCAAGTTCTCAGCCCATGCTGGAACTGGCATGACCTTCGCTTGTCCTCCCTCTCCACTCCTCAGACCCTGCCACCTGTCATCTGTCCTCCCAGATGGGGCTCCTACACCCACCCACCTGCCCACTGGAGCCAGTGGCCACAGCCCCATCTCCTGCCCTGTCCTTTGCGAAGTCTTAGAAGAAAGCTAGCTTCTAGAATGTCATTGATTGCTTTGTGTCCTAGGAGCTGAGGCCATCAGTCCCCAAGTCTCTGCCTCCAGTTCCCCAGTGTCTGTGTAGGGAGTGACTCCCATAAGCTCCTGGCAGACTTGGAGGCGTGTGAGGGCTTAGAACCCTTCACATCAAAGGGGCTGCCGTTGATGGGCTGGGGCATTCACATCTCTGGTACTGAAACGACAGCCCTGAGACCCATTTCAGTCAGATCTGACTCTCAAGGAAGGGTAAGGGGATGAGTAATTGTCTCTGATGTGCACCTGGCCCAGGTGTCTGGAAGAGGAGAGCTTCTTCTGGGGACCTCAGGCCACAATTAGGACATGGGAAGAAGATAGTAGGCCTTGCATCCATAGTTACAGTTGACAGCTTGACATTATGTCTCCCACTCAGGATCACAGTGAGGGGGTTAGGTAACCATGGAAGAGGGGTCCTCGCCTTTCTAAGACCCCCCTGGGAACAAGAGGAGCATGATGCTGCAGAAGGGAGACTGGGGCAGACTGGACCACTCCTTTCCTGCTGTGGGATTTTATGTCCACACCATTATCACAGGTTCTGCAACGTGTTCTGCTGGAAAAGGAAAAATGGACTTCTTTACCCTCCTGATGCTGCCTTGCTTTGTGTGGCCTGCTGTGGTCAACAGTACTGTTGCTGGTTTCTGACAGTGTCCCACTGCTATGCATAAAGCTT